GAAATTAAAGATGATACAAACAGATGGATATACCATGTTCTTGGATTGGAACACTCAATATTGTGAAAATTACTATACTACCCAAAGCAATCTACAGATTCAATACAATCCCTATCAAATTAACAATGGCATTTTTTACAGAACTAAAACAAAAATTCTTAAAATTCGTATGGAGACACAAAAGACCCCGAATAGCCAAAGCAGTCTTGAGGGTAAAAAACGGAGCTGGAGGAATCAGACTCCCTGACTTCAGACTATACTACAAAGCTACATTAATCAAGACAATATGGTACTGGCACAACAAACAGAAATACAGATCAATGGAACAGGATAGAAAGCCCAGAGATAAACCCACACACCTATGGTCAACTAATCTATGACAAAGGAGGCAAGGATATACAAATGGAGAAAAGACAGTCTCTTCAATAAGCGGTGCTGGGAAAACTGGACAGCTACATGGAAAAGAATGAAATTAGAACATTCCCTAACACCATACACAAAAATAAAGTCAAAATGGATTCGAGACCTAAATTTAAGACCGGACACTATAAAACTCTTTGAGGAAAACACAGGAAGAACACTCTTTGACATAAATCACAGCAAGATCTTTTTTGATCCACCTCCTAGAGTAATGAAAATAAAAACAAAAATAAACAAATGGGACGTAATGAAACTTCAAAGCTTTTGCAAAGCAAAGGAAAGTACAAGCAAGATGAAAAGACAACCCTCAGAATGGGAGAAAGTATTTGCAAACGAATCAACGGACAAAGGATTAATCTCCAAAATATATAAACAGCTCAATATCAAAAAAAACAAACAACCCAATCCAAAAATGGGCAGAGGACCTAAATAGACATTTCTCCAAAGAAGAAAAACAGATGGCCAAGAGGCACATGAAAAGCTGCTCAACATCACTAATTATTAGTGAAATGCAAATCGAAACTACAATGAGGTATCACCTCACACCAGTTAGAATGGGCATCATCAGAAAATCTACAAACAACAAATGCTGGAGAGGGTGTGGAGAAAAGGGAACCCTCTTGTACTGTTGGTGGGAATGTAAATTAATACAGCCACTATGGAGAACAGTACGGAGGTTACTTTAAAAACTAAAAATAGAATTACCACATGACCCAGCAATCCCACTACTGGGCATATACCCAGAGAAACCGTAATTCATAAAGATATCCCAATGTTCATTGCAGCACTATTTACAATAGCCATGACATGGAAGCAACCTAAATGCCCATCGACAGATGAATGGATAAAGAAGATGTGGTACAATGGAATATTATTATACAATGGAATATTATTCAGCCATAAAAAGGAACGAAACTGAGTCATTTGTAGAGACATGGATGGATCTAGAGACTGTCATACAGAGTGAAGTAAGTCAGAAAGAGAAAAACAAATATCGTATATTAACGCATATATGTGGAACCTCGAAAAATGGTACAGATGAACTGTTTGCAGGGCAGAAACCGACACACCGATGTAGAGAACCAACATATGGACACCAAGGGGGGAAAGTGGCAGGGTAGGGGTGGTGGTGTGAGGAATTGGGAGATTGGGATTGACATATATCCACTAATATGTATTTTAAAAACAAAACAAAACAAAACAAAAAAACTACTGCTAGTACTTTAAAGACCAAAAGAAAAATTGCATCATCTTATTGCTCTCATCAGTCTAGAACAGAACGTGATGAGACAAAACCATATATACATACCAACTTCTTTCCATAAAAAAATACGTAGACACTTAACATGGTAAAATTTGCAAGAAGACAAAACAATAAAATATATATATGGGCTCATAAGCATATAGTACAGGACACGAAGAGGTATTTGGAAATGCAGGGGCATTCCAAGACACACAAGTTGTTGAGAAAAAAAATCAATGAGAACAATGATAGTAAAATAAAAAGACCCTAAGGCCTAAAGAGCTACTAACTTGGGAAAAAAAGTACATCTACTCTTAAATGTGCCAAAGCCCTTTAGAGAAAGTTGTTAGCAGAATACCTTGTAAAACAAATTATAACGTATGGTATCACATAAATATAAGTTGATGTGGAGAACATGTGGATACTTTTTCTACTTTCACAGTCAGAAATTAAAAATGAGAAAGCAAACCCCAGAGATTACAGACATAATACGAAGGTAAGAAATGTAATCGGTAACTTCAAGGTAGCAGTGGTTAAACAAATCCTGGGCTAAAAAGCTCAAGGAATGGGAAGACGAGGTAAAAGAAATTCAAACAGAACCATAAAGCCTAAGAAGTGGTTAAGGAGCTCGAATCTGTGCCTGGAAAAGCACGCTCATATTGCTGTAGTTTATTATTATCACCGCAAACATCATTGAGTAGCTACTAGGTGTCAGGTGTCCTGCTGGAGGCTGTTGGGAGTAAAGGCATGAGTCAGGCAGCCCCAGCCTCTAAAAGGTCCGAGTCTACCAAAGGAGACAGGACCATACACAAGTAAATCTATTAGAAGGACAGTTGTGAAAAGGATTGTATGAGACACATAGAGGTTATGGCTGAGGGACAGAGTAGAATATAATACAAAGTCCTGATAACTCTGGACTCAAACAAAGGGGACCTGAGGACTGGTACCAACTTGACCACAAGCAGGTTGTGCATCTCTCTCACACTCTGCACTGCAGTTCTCATCTTTATGCCAGCGAAAGGTGGACTGTGTGATTTCTGTTAGTTCTACACTCTGTCTTTGTGGCTGAGGTTCCTGGAAGTCAGGGCCTGAATTAAGCTATGAATGTTAAGGCTTTATGGGCTAGAAATTGAGGGCGCATATGTACATAGGCAAAGAATGGCAATGGCGTAAGCTGAGACACGAGACCTCATCAGCTCACACGGTAAATGAAAACTGTTACCTACTACCTGGGGATTTCACTAATGGTACAGAACATTCTAAATGGACAAAAAAAGAAAATGGATATAAACTTTAGAAAGTGTATAAAAAATTAAACAAAAATAACATGAATTATAAAAACACTGAGAGCAACAGAGGATGCACTAACATTTAAATTAAATATAAAGGAAAGCAAATCTTACACTTCTAACAAATATCATGTCATAATATACAGCAGATGAAGAGATGGAGCTATATTTTAAAAAGTCTGAATATCCATGAACCTTTATCCATGTTTGTCTTTAAAATGTATATATGCAAGGGAAATTTCTTCCTTTACGTATTCAAAAAAGGTTATATTAAAAAGAAAAGAGAGATTGGCAGAATTGCAAGAAAGACTCAAGACTTCAGAAATTCAGCGAGACTGAGTTGCTTCGAGAGAGGATGCCACATTCCAAACTGTTTATTGCAAGAGAAGAATTACTGAGCAGTGCACTCACCCATGCAGCCATCCGCCACCCATCCAAATATATATACACATAGGAACATACAGACATACATTTGACCATACACAATCATTCCCACTAAAAACACAGTAGCATAATAAGAGCCAAGAGGAACATAAGGATGAGTGAGAAACCACGTCTTGTTGCTTAAATGGGGAAACAAAGCTTACATTCTTATAAGGAAGTAGGGAAGTATCACCATCATATGGGGCCTGAGTGCCACATATGCCAGGAAGAGAAGGACCAGCAGCATAGCAGGCTGGGTGAAGACCACAGCCTCACTTCAGAAACTCTGTAGCCACAAAACCACAGAGAATGTCACCTCTTTTCTCTAAGCTTCCATTTCTTTATGTGAAAAAATACTTAGTTCGTGGGGTTATAGGGAAGGCAATAAAATGACAATGAAAAGCATAGTGCCTCACACGGACTATCTGGTCAGTAGCGGCAGATTAAGAAGAGCAGGAGGGGGCTTCCCTGGTGGCGCAGTGGTTGGGAGTCCGCCTGCCGATGCAGGGGACACGGGTTCGTGCCCCGGTCCGGGAAGACCCCACATGCCACGGAGCGGCTGGGCCCGTGAGCCATGGCTGCTGAGCCTGCGCATCCGGAGCCTGTGCTCCGCAACGGGAGAGGCCACAACAGTGAGAGGCCCGTGTACCGGAAAAAAAAAAAAAAGAAGAGCCGGAGGAACAACAAAAGAAGTAGGAAGTTGACAGTCAGAATAAGATGTATGTGGAAACCCAGGGAAGGGAGTGATTACTTCGGATCTAGGTCAAGTTCAGACACTGAAGAAGGTGATACAAATAGGATTGTGACGGGTGACAGAAGGGTGTGAGGTGGCATGTTAAGAAAGAACAAACAGTTGAGCAAAAAGCTGCAGAGGATCGGAGATGACGCCACGGTCCCTAGAGAACCAGCTGGACAGTGGGAGAACCTCACAGAGTACAGTGACAAGGATGGGGCATCTCCATGCAGGAAGAGTCAGCCAAGGGGACAACTCACCGGCATTCACAGCACTCGTGGTGAATCTGACCCCTCGTGGAGGGGTCTGAAGTGCAACCATTACCTGCTTCTCTCCTCCCTCTCACATACGCCAACACAATATAGGACCTGCCCCATCCTGCCCCTCGGGTGTGCATCGACTGTCATACCCACTAGACTTCCTCACACCTCTGCCTCCTTCTCTGTAAGAAACCGTGTCTTTATTCCCTTCACATTAGAGGGGAGTCCACTGTTTGGCATCATTTTTGGACACATGTCCAATGGCAAGGGGGAGGGACGACTGGGTGGTAGACACATTTCTACAAGACAGTGGGATGGGGATGGAGGACACAGCAGTAGAAGAGCACTGAGCTATGAATGAAGAGATGAGGGTTCTAGTTTTAGCTCTGGCCCGAACTCACTGTATAACCATAGTCATATAACCCCTAAGAGATCTCAATCTTTACTCCCCAAAGAAGAGCTGCCTAGATGGTTACTTGATGCTTTTTAACCTTTGACAGTCTATACACTATGATAACCACACCACAAATTCTTGAGCTACCTTGTTCCAACACAACATTGTACTACAAATCACTTTTTATTATATTGAACTCTCCCATTTGGGGCACCCACCTCTGCAATCCTTCACTCACCTTCACCGCCAGGTTGCTTGTATGGGTTGTACTTCGGCTTTGGAGCAACGACTGGGGCAAACTTCTTCGGTGGTTGTTGTGTGGACACTGAAATGCTGGGGGTCCCAAAGGAATGGGTGGTCTCCATCCGTGCAGACACATGGCCAAGGGGCTCAGCAGAGCTTTTGGGTGGCAGCCAAGATGGGTGAGACATTGTTGAATCTGGAATTAAAAAGAAACAAACAACAGTTGTTTTTAAAGAAACACAAAAATGAAGGCAATATACTTCACTTCATTATTACTTCTTCTTAATCCATACTTAATAAAATCTTGAAAAAGGACTCTGAGAAGGAGAGAAGGAAGGAAGGAAGGAAGGGAGGGAGGGAGGG